CTTATCAACACAGACTGGCTTCATTCACTTCCTCCACTGCTGTATGCTAAAATAACTAGCAGACACTGCGCAGAACGTCGACGTCATTCAAAGCTCCTCCTTCTGTTTGCTGATTGGCCCAAGTAAAATAAACTACAAGCAGACACTGCGCAGAACATCAACATTCTGTTCTCTGATTGGCCCGGCTAAAAGTCTGCCAGTGAAATGCATCTCAATGGGAGAAGTCCCAGACGGAGCAGTGAAGGGAAACTAGAATTGAGCGGAGCTACGTAGGAAGGCAAGGGCCAGGCTAGTTATGGGCAGGTTAAAATAAAAATGTTTGACATAATTACATCTTGTGATTATTTGACATAAGTTTTACTTTTATACTGTAAGTGTATTTAATTTAGTTATAATGTAAATACAATACAAATTAAACCAAGATTTAGAATAATTATCATTTTGATCCATACACTGGTAATATCTGACTGGGCCTCGTGCCACTTTATGTTCAATAAATTGGGCCCCGAGGTCAAAAAGGTTAAGAACCCATGGTCTACTGCATATACCGCGCAGCCCTAATTTGAAATCTATTTTTATATTAGATTAAGTAATTTTTGAGGAGGGGGCGGGGCCTCATTGGTGGGCCGGACAGAAGTCACACACGGGCCAAATGTGGTTGAATATGGACAGAATATGTTGCTTTCAACAGCTAGTTATAAAATAAAGGCTCATTCATGCAGAGGGTTAAAGAACTAAAGTTTTTACAAAATGCTAATTGTTGCCTAAAAACACAATTTCTGAACATTAAAAAAGGAATGAAAACACGCCGGACCAAAGAGTCAGCGGTTAAACAAAGCTCCTACCTGCGACAGGTGGCAGGCTGGGTGGGAGGGCGCCTGGAGGGGGCACAGGGGGCCGAAGGTTGACGGGAGGCGGGTTCATGAGAGGAGGAGGAGGAGGGGGGAGTCCCGGAGGCGGAGGGTCCACGCCTGGGATGGGCGGAGGCTGGAAAGGCAGCATGTTGGGCAGGTTGACRTCCTCCACGACGACCGGGTCGCTGCCGTGGTCGAAGGGACACATGTCCCCCCGCATGCAGAAACCCTTCTCTGTTGAGGACACGCGTGTCAAACAACACAAACAGCTTTAAAAAGTCAAAACCCATCAGCTCCTCTTACCGTCGTAGTCGCGGCATCTCTTCCTGGGCTGGGGGGGCGGCCCCCGGCTGAAGAGGACCCGGTCCACGGGGGGCTCGGGACGGAAGTCGGACCAGCTCTCGTTGGTGCTGCTGCTGTGATGGAGGGTGGGGGCGATGACGGTGATGGTGCTGCTGAGCGTCGGCAYGGGGAAGTGCGAGGTGGCAGCGGAGGAAACCAGGGCGGCGGGGGCGTAGACGTCGCCGCTCCCCGACCGGTCGGCTCGCTCGTGGTCGTACTTCGGCTTTCCTGCATCCCGGTCTGTGAGGAAAACACATCAAACTGAGCCGAACATCTTTAAAGSGATCCATGATCAGCTGTAACATTTAACKTTTTCTGATAAACATTTATTTTAACTGTAAAATAAAGACTGTAAAATACTGTAGGCTGTTTAGTTTTGTAAATTTTAAAAATTTACTTTAACACGGACGGAGCCATTTTATTTCCACACAAAGCATTCTGGGTAAATGATGACGTAGATAGGTCCTCGGTGCGAGGCTGCTAGCGAGCTATATCCACCCTGAAGGTTAATCTTGGACAATATCTGATGATCGACTCTTTTAAATGAAACCAGAGAGCGTTGACAGAGAGGAGAAGGTAGAAATGACTCAGCCTGGAACTGAAAATATGGATGGAGGACAACAGAGCTGCTTCATGGAAGAAGAACCTCAGCTTAGCCTGTTAGCCTTTGCGCTAGCGCACAAATAAGCTAAACTGAGGTCCTTCATCCATATTTTCAGTTCCAGGCTGAGTCATTTCTACCTTCTCCTCTCTGTCAACGCTCTCTGGTTTCATTTAAAAGAGTCGATCATCAGATATTGTCCAAGATTAACCTTCAGGGTGGATATAGCTCGCTAGCAGCCTCGCACCGAGGACCTATCCACGTCATCATTTACCCAGAATGCTTTGTGTGGAAATAAAATGGCCCCGTTYGAGTTAAAATATATTTTTAAAAATTTTGTTTAAAAATTTACAAAACTAAACAGCCTACAGTATTTTTACAGTCTTTATTTTACAAAGTATATGTTTATCAAATAAAGTCTAATGTTACAACTAATCGTTGACCCCCACCCCCCCAAACGTGGTCATCAAAAACCCGCATCACTACCTCGACTCCTGCTTCTGGACCGGGTTCTGCTCAGACTACGGCTCCGGCTGCGATCCCGGTCCCGGTCCCTCTCTCTGTCGCGGTCTCGGAGACGCTCTTTGCTCCAGCTTCGGCTGCGACTGCGGCTGGGGGTGTAACTGCGGCTGCGGCCCCGCCTTCGGTTGTAGCGATCGCGGTACGAGTCCCTCCTGGGCGGGGGGCGGTCGTAGTCCCTCTTCCTGGAGCGATCGTCTCGTTTACGGTCATCTCCTCTTCTGAGATTCGAACAAAAACAAAAGCATTGATTAAAAAATACATTTAAGTGTTGAACRAGTGAAAAGAGGAAAAGTTTCAGCACCTGCCGTCTCTGCCGTAGCGAGAGCTGGACTGTGGAGGGCTGTGAGTCACTCGGCGAGAAAACTTCTTGTCTCGGTCCTCTTCCCGGTTTGGCTGCACCTGCAGAAAAAACAAACCGGTTATTGTCATATTTTTGTTGTTCACAGCAGTTTGCTCCAGGTTCTCTAGTTTCCTCTATTAAAAAGGAAACGTGATTTCTCCGGTTTAATAAAGGTGCATAAATCAAACTGCAGAGAGAAGCAGACTTCCAGTTGAGGAACTGAACTGGAATCCACTTGCTTCCTGTTAGCTGCAGCTTTGTGCTCGAAGATTTGACGTGTTATGGTGCGTTCACACCGAACGCGATTTCAGCTTCAAAATCGCAGCCAACGCTGAAGTCTGAAGCTTGTGCACTTTGAGGTCAGACGCAGGACAGTTGTTGAAGCGCAGCACGGCGACAGCCGCCCCGCCCCTCCCTCCTCTGTCGGGCTCYGTTTAATGTCGGACGAGGAAGTGGCTTTGCTTTATTTACAGACAGCCAGAACGTGTCACGTTCATCAGATAATTAATTCATAATTAATTCACCAGATAATTCAGAGAAGAGGCTCACAGCTGCTTTCAGGACTATTTTTTTCAGTCTGATGAGTCGCTGTCACGCATTGCTGCGGATCAGGACACGACTGCAGGCACTCATTTTAGCTAAAGAGCTCCGCTCCGTCTGTTTCAGGTTAGTGGACCTCATTCAGTAAACTGTCCCGTCGGGAAATATGTCGCTACGTCACACAGTGGAGTCTCTCTGATTGGTTGACGCTGCGCGTCGAGCTGCAAAAGTTCAGATTTCCCAACTTCAGCGATTTGGACGATTTGGACGATCTGAGCGTTCGACGCTCAGATCGTCCAAATCGTTCAAATCGCGCTGCTCTAATCGCGCTTGAGGCGCCGCAGAACTTCCCGACGTTGTTTGAAGCGCGTCCACCATAGACTTTGCATGTAAACCTGCTGCTCCTGACGCTGAAATCGCGTTCGGTGTGAACGCACCATTACCCGGGTATTTGACTCCGGCATGACAGATTTTGCAAACAGCACAGCTTTTATCACAGTCCTTGCAGCTTTCTTTATTTTAAAACCCGAAATGTGTCCACACCTCAGCTTTGAAAGCAGCGGGTGCCGGTCTAATCCGCTCAGATGCAACCATCGGTACTTATTGCTAAGGTTTACTCAAAATATTTGAGCTAGCATTATGCCCTCAGCAATGATTGGCACAGTTCTGCTAATCCACTAATAGCGGAACTAGCTTCTCATTCAGCAGAGTACATTTTTGTTAACTTTAGAAACTGCTAGCAGACTTATTAGCTTACACTAAATTAGGCTAAGCTAATTGTAGGTCTACTAAAAAATTCACAAGCAAGCACGTGTCAGGCACCGTCTGTGTAGCATGTAGCATCTTTAGCAGCTAAACTTCAAACTGAGAGCGTCAACAAGAAATAAAATAACTTTTACCAATATTTAAATCAGGGATTCTCAAACATTTTGGGTCTGGGGACCCCTTACAAGCAAGCACGTGTCAGGCACCGTCTGTGTAGCATGTAGCATCTTTAGCAGCTAAACTTCAAACTGAGAGCGTCAAAAAGTAATAAAATCACATTTATTTAAATAACAAATACAAAAATTGATACCTATAAAATACAGTAAAGAACATATTTTCTATTTGTTGTTTGACTAACATCAAATGATATTTATAAAAGTACAAACGCCATCAACGAAGTGCTTTTATTTTAAAAGGGTTAAACTGGAAGTATCACAAGTTAGACACAGCTACAACCCTGGTCTAGATTGGCAGATCTGCACAGACGATCCCACCCACCTTCAAATTAAACCAACAGAAAACTGACAGGTTTGTGTCAGTCCCCATTTTCAACTGGAAGGAGATGAAGACGGTCGTCTTAGCGGTTAGCGTTAGCTTCCTGTAATTTGTTTTTATCTGTTTAGCTTTAGCAGAGCTAAGATTCTTGTTTAGTGGATTAGTGGTTAGTTAAGGTAACCTTTCAGTTAGTTGTGCCCACCACTAACTCTCTGGCTCATCAGGAGTGGAGGAGCCAAACAGCTGCCAACTAACGGTCAAAGACTAACTGTTGGCATTAAAGTTTAAATCTTAGGGCTGAATTAAAAATCGATAGTGCTTTAATGAATCGTTGCACTATCAGGAAATTTAATCTTGCGATATTTCAGTGTAATGGTATTTTCCTACACCTCCGGCCCCCCATTCTATTTGTGAATACAAGCAAAAAGTTTGAGTGAGAATAATAGATGACCTCATCTTTCTTTGGCTCTTCCTTCTCAGCTTTGACCACAGGTTGCTCCTGCTGTGGGAGGTAGCTTTTGTTGTCGATGGCTTCGAACAGCTTATCCACAAACAGCTGGGTTTCTGAAAGAAAAAAAATCAAAGCCTTAATGAAGCGATGCCGGATGGGCAACACAATATTTATACTTTAAACACTAAAACGTGACAGTCTAAATGGAAGTCAAGTTTACCTTTTTGGAGAAATACATCTAACTGGTCAATACACAGGGCTTTCAGTTCCTTCTCACTTTTGTCCTTCTTCACCAGAGCAACAACATATTTGGCGAGGGCTGAAGGGTCAGCATCACATCTGGATGCAAAAACAAAAATTATCAACAGCTGCATAACAGGTTGATAAATGTTTAGTTGCTACGAATCTATCATTATTTGTAATAAGTGGCTATCCCACGTTATTATTATCCAGAAAATATGTTTGTACGCATTAATATAAAGCAGTTAATCAATGATTTACATGCTCAGTCTGTTTAGTTTACGGTCTAGCACACTTTAAAATAAGTAAATGAAGGCTCCGCGGTGTGTTGCTAATGCTAGCACTTACATGGGCTCGAGGGTTTCATACAGCCATGTTTTCAAAGCTTCGAGGTTTTCAATGATCATCTTAAATCCACTCCAACGTTCCCTCCTCCACCACAGTTGAGGCTGGCTGGGTCGACGCCGTGGATCAGATCAAACAAAAAAATAGCAAGAACCGGCGAAACTTTCCGATTCGGTTCTGCTGCTGCGCATTGATCCCGATGCTAGTGCCGTTAGCTGCCGCGCTAACGCAGGTTAGCGTAGCACGAGTCTTTCCAGGCCAGGATGCGCACAACGGGATTTCCCACAACCCTGTTTTTATTATCGAAATGCCAAGGACGCGAACGCTTTGTATCCTCGATAAACCCACTGACTTTAAGATTCAAGAGTGATTTTTATTTGTTAAAATCAAGCAGCGTCCACGTTTCAGTCGCTACTTCGTCGTTTTGAGTATTTACTTCCGCATGTGTTCTCGTTGCAAGTGTGCAGAAATATCGCGAGACAGTGGGGTTTGCCGTAGCTGTTGTCAATCAGTTTTTAAATAAAGTTTTGTGAAGTTCTCTTTCGAGGCGCCGAACAGAAATTTGAGGGACTGGTGGTGAGGCAGGTTGAATGTTTTTCTCTAAAAATATTTTGTTGTGATAATTTAATGTTGAAAATTAATAAATATGTCACAACTGAACATTTACAAGACAAACAAAAACAGGCGTTTGCCGCAAAAGTAAACAAAGAATATGAATTATGTCGTTTTTGCTAAATTTAGCATTTTAGCTTTTTATTGCTATTTCATATTTCTAGCTAGTCTTTCATGACTTTTATCTTATAAGACATAAGTAACTAATTTAGGCTTTTTTTCTATTTTTAGCTAGTATTAGTGTTAGTATTAGTTATTAGATAGTGGTTTGCTCTTTTTTTAGCTGCTTATTTGCTACCTTTAGTTAGTGTTTTGTTATTGTTAGCTAGCATGTTGCTACCTTTAGTTTCTAATAAGCCATTTAACCAGTCATTAGTTACCATTAGGCAGTGGTTTACTAGCTTAAGTTAATGTTTTGATAATTTTAGCTTGTGTTTTTCCTTTTTTAGCTAGTGTTTTGTGATGTTAGCTAGCATATTGCTACATGTAACTTATATTAGTCATGTTAAATCATCTGTTTCATTTAGGCAGTAGGGCTAGTTTTGTTATTTATATTAGCTGTTCTTTTGCAGATTTTACATAGCCTTTTGCAACTTTTAGCTTATAGCTTGCCTTTTTGCTATCTTCAGCTAGATTTTTGTGACTTTAACTAATCTTTTGTTACTTTTAGGTGAGGTCTGGTCCTTTTAGCTAGCTTTTTGTTGCTTTTTTCTTGCCTTTTGCCGATTTGAGGTCATGGTTTGCTCATTTAGCTATCTTTGCATTGCTGTTAGCGGTTCTCTTGGTTCTTCTTGGTTGTGTTTTGTTATTGTTAACTAGATTTTTGCTAATCTCAGCTTCTAAATTGTTTTGTAACATCCCAGGTTTGGTTTTTATGATGTAACAACTTTTTATTTACTGATAAGCTCTTTTTTTATTCATAATTTGATTTAAAAAAACAAGTGCATCTTGTGCTAAACCCGTGTTTTTTTTTTTTTTTTTTTGTTTTTTTTGTGGTTGTCGCTCATCACTTTTTAAGATTGAAACTAGTTTAGCCAATTTATTTTAAATGTTTGATCATTAATATTTAGCATCTTCTAAAGCATATCTAATAAGAGAAATACTTTTACTACCCTTTTTTTAATACACTGACAGTACAGTGAGAGCCGACGTTGTCCTCATAGGACAAAATTATGTATTTTCCAGGCACAATTCTATTCCACATCTGCATAACTATGTTACTTTCAGTTGTTATGAAAAAGTTGTTTATATCAAAAATATATTTGAATTTGCATCATAGCCTATCTTAACCCCTTGACATTTGTCTCTTCCTACCATTTCAGACATTCCCACTTCAGCATGTTTTCAAACAATGCAGAAGGGTGCTCTGTGGGGCGGGAGCTCTTCTGCAGGCTGAGCTTCAGGGAGGAGCTTTGTGTAAATAGGCGGAGCTTTGTACCAGGCAGCAAACGTTTAGGCAGCTCCACAGCAGAAGATTCAAGGATTTCTCAAACATGCATGAATGAGTCAAAGCAACACTTTTGATGACGGAATGACATTAGAACATGATATAAAGATCAAAACAGTATATTTTGCGTAATACCTTAGCTTTAATATAAAAATGACTACACAGAAGCTTGTAAGTAAAATTATAATTTTTATTTCCCAGTTTCACTGGAACTACAAACAAAAAGAGACAAAAGTGTCCATAAAAAACTAAAATATTTTTCCTTTCCGTGAACCCATTTCTCTCTTTAAACAACTTTACTTTTCAACAAACCATCCTCAACATGCAAGTTATTCTTACAAAAACAAAAAACAAACAGTAAAATACAAAAATACTCACTTTCTGCAACCCTCTGCACACAGGAAACATTAAGACAAACTTTTTGTTCTTTAAAAATTATTGTCGTACAAATATAAGCTTGCACATATTTTAATTCAGCTGCATAATTGTAGTTTGTGTATCCAGTACATGGATTAAAATCCTGCTTTAAAATAGTATTTAAAGAGTATTTGTACTGCTACAGAACAAAACAATGACTTCTAGTGAATTTGTTTCTCATATTTAGAGGAAAATATGCGATTTCACCAAAAACGAAATCATGTATGGAGATACTGTATTTCATCTTCTTACATCAAACAGGATGAATAAAAGATTAAAAAACAGCTGCAGTGGTTCTCACCCATTCATCAAACAGTAAAAACAGTGTTCATGGCTTTTTTTACACAGTTTTTGTGTCAAACAAACAGGAAGGACATGTCTGTCGTCTGAGTAAAAGGCTCTAAAGGTTTCTTTTTTTTCTTGTTTTGTGCCTCTCCTCTGCACAGATCCGGTGCAGCAGAACTCTTTCTGGAGAAGAATCTATCTCTCTCGTTGGATGAAGCTCAGGTTAACGGGGGCGGCGGGGCAGAGCAGCCCGTGAGTTTTGGCTTTAACCTCAGAGGTGAGAGGAGACACGCCGATGTGGAATTTCTGAATCAGCTGAACGCAGAGGGAAAAAAAAACGTAGGATTTTTAGATATTTGTTTTACCAAAGAAGCCAGAATGCAGACTTTGTTTTAGCTAATCCAATTCAAAATGGCTGCCACAGCTCTAAGTGTTCAGAAAACACAAAAAGGATAAAAAGTCTGTCATTTATACAGATATTAAGCTAACGTGTCATGGTAGTAGCATCCTCAACACAGACTCTGGGGACTAACAAACCATTCGTAAAATATGTTGGTACTTTAAACTAGTCTTTTACTATTAGCTTTTAGAAGGCTTTGAATTTGTTTTGCTACTATTAGCTAGTCTGTTGCTACATTTAGTCCACCTCGTTTTGTTACTTTTACTAGTCCCTTGCTATTTATAGCTTCCACATTTGTTTTGTTACCTTTAGCAAATTTCTGTTGTTCTAGCTACTAGCTTTTCTTTTGCTACTTTTAGCTAGCCTCTGCTATTTCAAGTTTCTAGCATTTATTTTGCTTCTTTCAGCTACTCTGCTATTTTTAGCTTATAGCTTTTTCTATCTATTTTTAGTTAGTCTGACATTTTTAGTTTCCACCTTTTGTTTTGCTACTATTAGCTAGTCTGTTGCTACATTTAGTCCACCTCTTGTTTTGCTACTTTTACTAGTCCCTTGCTATTTTTAGCTTCCACCTATGTTTTGGAACTATTAGCTAGTCTCTGCTATTTCTAGATTCTAGTTTTTGTTTTGCAAATTTTAGCTAGACTTTTGCTATTTTTAGCTTCCATCTGTTCTGCTAATTTTAGCTACTCTTTTACTATTTTTAGCTTCCACCTTTGTTTTGTTAGTTTAAGCTAATTCTGCTTTTTATGGCTGCTAGCTGTTCTTTTTGCTACTTTTATCTAGTCTCTGCTATTTCTAATTTCTAGCATTTCTTTTGTCGCTTTCAGCTAGTCTGCTGTTTTTAGCTTATAGCTTTTCTTTAGCTATTTTCAGCTAGTCTCTGCTATTTTAGCTTACACGTTTGTTTTGCTATTTTTAGCTAGTCTCTGCTATTTCTAGTTTCAAACTTATATATATATATACACACACACACACATTTTAGCTAGTCTCTGCTATTTTTATTTTCCACCCTTTTATTTGCCACTTTTAGCTAGTCTTGGCTGTTTCTAGCTTGTAACTTTTGTTTGTCTACTTTCATGTACTTACAAGAGTTCCTGTGTTTGTCAAAGTGGGTTAGCTGTGGCGGCCATCTTGAATTGGTTTGACCAATCAGATGTAGACACACATCCTGTGATGACAGTTTGATTGACAGCTCATAGTTACCCGTGCGAGAGCGAGGTGCATCTCCAGCTCTGCGATCCTCCTGCCGATGCAGCTCCTGATGCCGTGGCCGAAGGGAATGGAGCCGAAGTTGTCGACGCGGTCCGTCATGTCTTTGCGCACCCAGCGGTCCGGCTGAAACTCTGAGGCATTGGTGAAGTTCTCCTCGTCCCTGGATGTGGAGTAGTGGCACAGAGCCAGCTGGGTCTGAGGAACCACAGAGGACAGACGGGTTATTGTACGCCGAGCTCATTCAGATCAGATCAAAGAGACCTGAGAGAACAGCCAGACCGCCTCGGATCTGGTTTCACTTCCTTGTTTTCGGCTGACTCACTGGAAAGGCTTTTCTTTTGAGGCACCTGAAACGTCACTCAGACTTACCCCTTTGGGGATGAAGTATCCTCCCACCACCAGGTCATCCTGGGTAATCCGTCCGTTCCCTGGGAGGACCGGGAAGAGCCTGCACCCGGGGCGGGACACACAGAGACTGTTATTCAACAAGAGCACCAAACACAATGCTCACCTGAGGATAAACCAAACACAACGCTCACCTGAGGATAAACCAAACACAACGCTCAATTGAGAATAAATCACCTAAACACAACGCTCACCTGAGGATAAACCAAATACAACGCTCACCTGAGGATAAACCAAACACAACGCTCACCTGAGGATAAACCAAACAAACACAACGCTCACCTGAGGATAAAGCAACTAAACACAACGNCCTGAGGATAAACCACCTAAACACAATGCTCACCTGAGGATAAACCAACTAAACACAAAGCTCACTTGAGGATAAACCAAATCAAACACAAAGCTCACCTGAGGATAAACCAACTAAACACATTCATATATTCCTGATAATATTCGGCTGTGTGGGGCTGTTTCTGTTAAGAGTGAAGTCTTACAAACATAAACAGAACTGTGTTTAAAATTTTTTGTTAAATTAAAACAAGAATCTGTGCCAAGTGTTCCTACTTTTAGCTTCCAGTTAGCCTTAAGCTCATTTTAGCTTTAAGCACATTTTGGTTATTTTTGCCTTTGGCTTGTCCTCTCTTTCTTTTTGGCTTTAGCCAGTGTTCTGCTGCTTTTAGCCTTTAGCCACTGTCCAACGTCTTTTAGCTAGTATTCTGTCTTTTAGCCTACATCCAATGTCTCACTCCTTATAGCTAGAATTATCATTCTTTTAGCCTTTAGCCATGTTCCTGCTGATTTTAGCCTTTAGGCAATGTCATTTTAGGTAGTATTCTGCTTCTTTTAGTTTTAAACCATTGTCTTGGTGATTTTAGTCTTTAGCTAGTATTCTGCTTCTTTTAGCATTTAGCCATTGCCATGCTGCATTTAGACTTAAGGTAGTATTCTGCTGTTTTAGCCTTTAGCTAGTATTTTGTTTCTTTTAGTTTAGCCACTATTTTGCTTTTATTAGCCTTCAGACATCATCTTGCTGTTTTTAGCTTTCTGTTGCATTTAGCCTCTAGTTAGTGTTTTGCTGATTTTAGCCTTTAACTAGTATTTTGGTTATTTTAGCCATTATCCTGCTTCTTTTAGCCTCTAGCATCATCCTGCTGCCTTCAGCTTTAACAAACCCAGTTTTCAGCTTCTGTAGCAGTTTTTGTCATTCAAACTGAATCTTTGCAGAAAGTAGCTTGTGGGGGTTTTTTTTGGTGATTTTTAAGTGCGAGACAATTCCTTTTTTTTTTAAAACAGGGACAGTTGACAACCTGAGGTTTTATAGCTTTGAAAAAACTCTTTAAAAAAAACCAAAATGAAGTCAAAACACGAACCTGAGGGTCTCTTTTACGAGTCCTCTGATGAGAGGCAGACGGGGGACGTCGTCGGCTGTGGGGACCGCCCCGGGTCCCAGGGTCTGGGTGACCTCTGAGTGGATCTGCTCCTGGATGTGAGGGTGCTGCGCTAACAGGTAGCTGGCCCACGTCAGGGTGAAGGACGTCTGGAATGCAGACAACGAGATGTTTTAATAAAGACACGAGCTGCACCTCGGATTAAAAGGCGCTCGGCTGCGGCACGCCCRACAGCAACACGGCGCGGAACTCCTGAACCAGCTCCCCTGAGCAAGACGTTCCACAAGGCATTTATGGAACCCCAGCTCTGAAAACAGCTGTGGTTCCTTTAAACAGCAGCCAGTAAACGTCTAGGAACCGAGGAGACCGGGTCTGGAGGTCTTCAAGAGAATGTTGTCCTCTTCTGGTCTGACAGGATTCTAACTGTTCAACAGTCCTGGTCTTATTTAAAACTGGTGGATGCAGTTTGTAGTTTAGTATTATCTTGATGAAATAAGCAAAGACCTTCCTTAAAATAGATTTGTCTGAATGGTAACACATTGTTTTAAAGCTGTTTATACTTTTCTGCGTCTTTCCTGATGTGTAAGCTGCTCATGCTACAGCCACTAATGCACCCCCATACCATCAGGGAGGCTCTTGCTTTCTTTTTGTATATCATTTGGATCCGTCTGACCACAGAACAGCTCACCTCAGTCCATTTTAAATGATCTTTGGTTCAGAGAAGTTGGCAGCGGTTCCTACTAATTTTTATTTATTTTTTTCTGAAAATGGACATTCTATTTTGAAGCGCCTTGCAGTTGAAGGGAGCAGGAAACTCTAATAATCTCTAGTATCTTAATAATCTCTAGTAATCTCGTGGAAAAACCACCGCTGTCCTCATCGTCAGTCTCATCTTTCTCTTAAACCGAAAAAATATAACCCCGCAGACCTCCTTTTTGACTGAGGCTCAAAGTTATCTGACAAGCAGTAAAAAATCTACAGGAAGAAGAAAATAAAAAGAGGCGAAATTTGAATGGAGATTGGTGGCAATGAAGAGCCGGTGAGAGCAGGACTTTATTAATTAGATCTGTGACTTTTAACATGTTTGGATTTTATAGTTAGTGTGTAGTTTTGAATGTTTACTCTTCATTTTAGCCAGTTCTAGTGTGTTTTGAATCAAAACCATGAGCTAATTCTTTTTAAACAAGGAGAACCACAGAGGCCTGCTGAAGCAGAACGACAACATGTCTTATTTCTCTCCCCTCACTCTTGCAGTTAGACAAAATAAATATTTTCTCTCTGGATGGTTTTTTTACGTGAGAAGTACAGTCCTACAGCAACTTTTCACATTTTTTTCCACATAGAGGAACTCATCCTAATTTCACCCAAACCAATAGGTCAGCCTCCGTCTACAACATGGTTACGTGACAAAGTACCCGGCTGTTTGAGAATTTTACACGACCTCTTAGCCAACTTCCTCTTGACTCAAGAAACCAAATGAGACCTTTCCAATTTCAAATATGTGACTCGGGCGACGTTTTTCATCTGAATGACGTGACTAGATGAGCAAACACCAAGTTGACGGAGTGGAACATCTGCCTCCCCCTCCCCACGCTGGTTCCTCCAGCCCACTCACTTTCCCACTGTCCAGTTACACAACACAGATTTAACCAATGGTTTAAAAACTTATATTCTTGTTCTGTTCCACCATCTTTCTATAGACCCCCTCTCCCCCACTCCTCTACCTCCACACAACCTTCTTAATGTCAGCTGGCAACGACTCTCCTTGTCACAGCCAGAGAGGGTTCATAACAAAAGCTCAGGCCTCCATTCCTTACATCTCTTCCTTCACAATTACTCAGCAGACATCCAGCCCCCACTCTTTTCCTTCTGCTTGTTCCCAGCCCCCCCACCAATCACCTCACCTCTGCCCGGACCGTGCCATAACTCTGGCTGTGGCTAACGTGTCCTGACAGCTCCTGTGTGAGTGCAGAAAAGACCAAGGCACCAAAAGGTCAGGTAACGACCCAGCTGGGCCCGCCCCCCGCAGGGACGAGGCCAATTCAACAAATTAAACAAAAACACAGACACCCTTTTATCCCGTGGCCCCCGAACGCAGCACAAAAACACTCTATCCCCGATAATTATTAATCCCAGAGAACCCCAAACAAATTAGGCTGCAGCTACGAGCGAGCACGAACTCGTAAGAGACATCTGCAGACATGGTTCGATGATCCCACCGAGTCTGAGACCTGGGTCTGAGACTGAGACCTGAACCAGCTACAGGAAAGTTTTAAAGCATTCTGTACAGGCATGCATATCACCTGCCACCTTACCTAGCCCCAACCCAAGTGTCAGTTTTATGCTCAAGACTTTCAGCTACTACCCCACCAAAATTTAGCTCAGTATTTGTAAATCTTATTGAACAACTAAAAGCTAAATGTAGCAAAATCGAAGTGATTAGCAAATTTAGCAAAATCTTTATAAAAAGCTAAATAAAATATAGCAAAACCGCAAGCTAATGGCTAAGAGTATTGCAAAACAAATTGCTAGACACTAACAATGTACCAAAGCTAGTAGATGTAGAATGTGCAAAAATCAATAAGGCTAAGAATTACAAAACCAACAGCTAAAAGCTAAGAATAACAAAACCAACAGCTAAAAGCTAAGAATAACAAAACCAACAGCTAAAAGCTAAGATTAACAAAACCAACAGCTAAAAGCTAAGAATATAACAAAACCAATAGTTAAAAGCTAAGAATATAACAAAAACAGCTAAAAGCTAAAAATATAACAAAACCAACAGCTAAAAACTAAGAATATAACAAAACCAACAGCTAAAAGCTAAGAATAACAAAACCAACAGCTAAAAGCTAAGATTAACAAAACCAACAGCTAAAAACTAAGAATATAACAAAACCAACAGTTAAATGCTAGGCGTGTAGCAAAACCAATAGCTTAAAGCTAAGCATGTAGCAAAACCAATAGCTAAAAGCTAAGTATGTAGCAAAACCAATAGCTAAATGCTTGAAATGTAAAAAAATCTAACGATAAATGACAACAATATAGAAAAACCAATATCTAAAAGCTAACAATGTACCAAAGTCAATAGATAACAGCTAAAATATGGCAAAACCAATCTCTAAAAGCCAAGAATAACAAATCCAATAGCTAAAAGCTATAAATGCAGCCAAACCAACAGCTAAAAACTATAAATATAACAAAAACAAAGAATGTAGCAAAACAAACACCTATAAGCTAAAAACATAGCAATTCGAATAGCTAAAAGCTAAGGGTAAAGAAACAAATAGTTAAAAGATAAAAATCTAAGAATGTAGCTAAACCAATAGCTTAAAATTAAAAGTCTATCTAAACAAATCTTTAGATGTTAAGAATATATCAAAATGTGGCATTATGAATTAGTTCAAAAATAATTAGCTAAACTTTAGCTAAACAGTAATAAGGATCGTAGGAAAACAAAAAGAGAATGTGTTCTGAATCAGAATTCAGGGAGAAGAATCAATTCAGAACCAAACGGTCAAAACAGCAAAAAGTGTGGAAAAGTAGTTTGAAAGCATCAAAGAAACTTTCACTCGGAAAAACAGCAGTGCTGACTCAGCACTTCCTCAGTAAGGTCGGTTTAGGTTGGTCAGATTATGTTAAAACGCTTAGCCTGGAGGCAAGGAAGCGCGCAGACATTTGGGTTATAGAGGCACGTCTTCATTTTAGGTTTCATATAAATCCATCCCATCGTGACCTTCTGCTGAAACTTTCCCCCGACCACATGGTTCAGCAAACCTGCAGCTTTAATTAACCCTGCAGCTGGGAAAACGTTACACACACACAGATGTTTGGCTGAAAAAACAAACGGGAACAAAAAGACCCCTGTGAGGACCTAACAGACGAGGACAAATGAGACGAAACCGAATCAGAGTGAGAATCTGTCAACGAGACGCTCCGTAACCTCCCGATTCATCGCGCTGACCCCACGCTGGCACAGATGTGGTGCCGGTAACCTAAGCTAGGAAACTACACAATCACACACACACACACACACACAGACGTCTCTCGCTCACCGTGTCGACCCCGGCCAGCAGCATCTCCGTCACGTTGGCGTAGATCGCCTCCAGGCTCATCTCCATCGTACTGAGCATGTGCGTGAGCAGGCCCCCCTTGACCTCCTCCCCCCGCTGCAGCTGGGCCTTGATCGACGAAAACCTCTTGTCGACGTGAAGCATGGCTAAAATTAAACAAAACGGAAATGGAGCAAAAAAACAGCTAAAGACTTAAAAGACTCAAAATGTTAGCAAAAAAGCTAAAGTAATTAAACAATAGCTAAAAATTAATTTTGCAGAGACAAAGAACTAAAAGTAGCAGAACAGTGGCTTCTATATCAATTTAGCTTTCAGCTAAACAGTACCTAAAGTATTATTGAGGCAAAGTTCTAGCCTAACTGCTAACATAGCAAAAGGCTAGCTAAAAGCTAACGTAGCAAAAACCAAGAAATTAAAGTTAGTTGAATATAAGAAGCCAAGCACTAGCTGAACAAGGCTTAAAAAGCAAAATGCTACATTAATTACAAATAGAAAAATGGTAGCAAAAAGCTAAAATTGGAAAAAATGCATATGTGGCCAAAGCTGTGCCGTTAAAACTAAAAGAAGCAGGACACTAGCTAAAACCTAAACTAAACATAAAAAGAAACTAAAAACTTGGTTAAATCTTGAAGATCAAACAGAAAACTGAGCCAAACTAGAACAGAAACAGAGCCGTTTGTTGTTTAAGTAAAACACCTACTGAAACTGAAGAGACCATCCCAGGAGTCGCAGAATTCCTCCCAGGGTTTGGGAAAAAGGGGGCGGAGCCACTTGGGGATGGCGCCAGCATACATGGTGGTCTTGAAGGAACTGAACATCAGGTGCAGGGCAGCGATGTAGTCTTGCGTCTCCTTGGGGATCTCATTTTCCAAACAACCGAGTCTGCACTCGAACAAAATGGACGCCACACCTGTGAAGACCCCGAAGAGAGAAAATTTAAATTTCTCTTCGACGTGAACGCTGAGTCAGCATTCAGAATATTATTTTTTATCTTTTTTCATTACGTTTTATGGAAACGGCAGACTTTTTCAGCTGTTCAGGACCTTTCAGCTATGACAGTTTTGGCATAACTTTATTTAAATTGTTTGTTTTTTTCTATAATGCATTAGAATTTCTTCTATTATTTAAAAGTCTTTTTAAAGTCTACCTCTTTATAATTAATCTGTTTGACTTTTGAGCTACTTTTTGGTCTTTTAATGTCTCCTCTAGCTTCCTTTTTGTCTTTTAACGTGTTGTTATGCAACATTTTTGTCTTTTAATGTCTTCTTTAGGTTCCTTTTTGTTAGGTTATTCGTCCTTTTTCTCTGGTCAAACATGGTTTTGTGTCTTTTTTATGCGTCCCTGTGCAAACTGTCTTTTCATGTCTTCTTCTGATAAGTCCGTCTCTCTGCCTTCCCTCTGGTTCATGAGACGTTTGGCTGACAGACAGACTCGAACACACAAGCACAAACACCGTCGCCCGTCTCTCAGCTCTGGGGCGGCCGGACGTTCACCAACCTTCCATGGCGTATTTGAAGAAAAGGTCGTTGACGTTGGTGACGGTAGCGCCGTCGGGCTGCTGTGCTCGCAGGTGGAGCACCCTCTTGACGAGGTCGTCCACCACCTGGTTCACGTCGTCCGAGAAGACGGCGACGTCTCGGGGACGCATGATGAGCTGCCTGAGGACGCTGCGCATCTTCAGCCAGTCCTCGGCCTCACTGTGAAACAAACACGTCAGACCCAAAAACCAGGATGAGATCATCTTATCTGCACTAATCAAATGAGAAGAATTTCCTGTAAGGAGCTTAAGGTCAAAGGTGGGGGCGGGGGGGGGGACGACTCACGCTGAGATGAGGCCGGTGGAACGGCCCCTCCCATCTCTGTACTCCTGCCAGGACTCCATGTTGGCTCTCTGAGGGGCCACGCCCTCGGCCCGTATCACCTCGGCCACCAGGTCCCGATCTGCAATGGAGACCACCAGCTGTGGTCCGAAGTGAGACTTGAAGATCTTTCCGTATTTCATCCGGTGCTCCATCTGTAAGAGACAGCGTCCGTTTAATCTGAATTTACAAAACTTTAAGAAATTAAAAATGTATTTATAGCAGCTAAATCCTTTTTTTTCTGTTGGGCCTCAATATTTTATAAAAAAAAAACAAAAAAACAAACAAACTCAAGAGCAAGTCCTAAAAACCAGGTGGGGCGGAGCCACAGGGGTGGCAAGTACCGCCCCTGGCACCTGGTTGGCCACCTCAGGTGCTACCCCCGAATGATTGACAAGTGGGTGGGGATTTTGTATTTTGAAGATTGTTCTCTGATACAACTGTACTTTATACATTTTCAGCTGTGTATTTAAAAATGGCTGAATTTTAGCAATTTGTAGAATTAGCATTGCTGGTTAGCTTAATTTGGGATTAGAATGGACAATTAGCTACTCCACAACAAATTTAATTTCAATAAATCTTAAAATGACTGAAATATAGCCTTTTAAAGTTAGCTGTGGTGGCTATCTTGAAATTTTGAACGTTTTTGGCTACTTCTATGCAAATCTTCAGCCTCGTATTTCTAAAAGTGGCTGAATAATAAATTGTGACTAGCATTCAGCATGTTTCTTGGATCATTCTTACATACGATCGCACAAACTTTCAGCTCAATATTTCATAAAACAGCTAAATTAAAGACATTTTGAAGTAGCTGTGGCGCCCATTTTGAATTTTCAAATACAGTGCTTATTTTTATTTGTATGTGCCCCCTCTATAAAACAGATTTTAGTGTCAAAATCAAATCAAAATTTGATAGTGTAATACCGATTTAATAAAATATTGTGTAAAATAAGTGATTGAATAAATATTCACCCCCTTCACAGTAAGTTAGCCAGGTTTAATATTTTTTCCATAGTTTTACGTGTAAAAAGTACTTTTTAGATCTTTTTACTGATTAAAGTTGACAAAAGTCAAATTTTAAGTCGGATTTTTCATACTTCATTTGTCTAGGAACAACTTTTACACATTTTTTGTAGCAAGTTCTAAAGTTTAATAAATAAGGGAAAAAAGGAAAAACTCGCTCCTGGTGCGCTTTTTACGCAACAGTTACGCGCAATAACCTGATCTGACGCACAGACTCGGAGTCTGTTTGGGAGGACAAAGACCCGGTTTTTAGTTTAAAACCCGGACCCAAATGAGGCGCAGGGAGGTTTTTATTCTTACCTGGATTTCATGGATCCTGCTGAAGCCGTCTCTCCAGAAGAACTCGACCAGGTTGGAGAGCGTGCCGGGTCCGGGCATCTCCTTCAGGCTCTTGATCCGGGTCTCCTGGGACGTGGACTGGGCTTTGTCACGGACCTCCTCCGCCACCGGTGCCATCAGCCTGCCGGGCATGGCCTCCTCTCCGGTGGCGGGGATCTCCAGAGCCTCGCTGGCCGCGGACTTGTGCAGAGCGCGCGGAAAGAGCCCCAGCTGCTGGGCTGGGAAAGTCCTCCAGCACTTCGTGAAACCGTTCAGCACCGCCATGGTTGAGCTGAGGTTAGGGAGAGTCTGACGGGACCTGGAGGCGCACACTTCCTCTCTGCAGACGCATCTTTGCGGATGGCTTTTAAACTCAGCCTCGGTGGCTCCGGGTTGGAGGATCCCTTCAGGACAAGGGAGGGGTCTCAGCTGGATTCGGCTGTGGGCGTTCCCCTCCCCAAAAGAAAAAAAAATAGAAAAAGGATGTTGGAGTCCGTGCTTTGGTTGCAAAACAGGCGCAGAACAACGTGCCTGGTCATCAGTTACATCACATAATAATCAATTAAAGAGCGCGTGTGCACGTGCGCACGTGCGCAAACCTATCCACACGGTGGCCTGAAGCAGTCCTGAGTCTCTGAAAACTCTTGTGAAAAAACACTGCACACCCAGAAATCAGGACTGAAGCAAGTGATAAAAGCCACACAGATGGAAAGAAACCGGAAACATTAAAGATTCAAAAAATCAAAACCTTTTTCGTATTTAAAAAAACTTGAAAATTATAATATTGTCTAAAGTATTGTTTTGTTGTAATTTTGTGTGTTGAGTTACTTTCACTGACTGTGAACTTATGAGTTGGTTGATTTATTTTGCGAGTAGAGGCAGATATACTTCTTTCTGCTCCTTTTCATTCATGACTTCTTTTTAAGTTTAGTTTTGTTTTCCTTGACATTTTGATTGTTTTATTTTATTTTTCATTTCTTTTTTTTTTAATTTCTTTTTTATTAGATGACTTGTTTTTATTC